GTTTCTCTCACGTACCTGTCACATGCCGAAATGAATGAGATTTCATATATCACGTCGCAGGGCATCATATTGTCGTGGAAAGAGCTTTGGACTTGGAAACAGATTTTTTTTTTTTTTGAGATGGAGTCTCGCTCTGTCGCCCAGGCTGGAGTGCAGTGGCGTGAACTCGGCTCACTGCAGGCTCCGCCTCCCGGGTTCACGCCATTCTCCTGCCTCAGCCTCCTGAGTAGCTGGGACTACAGGCGCCCGCCACCGCGCCCGGCTAATTTTTTTGTACTTTTAATAGAGACGGGGTTTTACCATGTTAGCCAGGATGGTCTTGATCTTCTGATCTCACCCACCTCAGCCTCCCAAAGTGCTTGGATTACAGGCATGAGCCACTGCACCTGCCCGAAACAGACTTTTTTTAAAAAACTTGGTTCAAATTGCAGCTCTTATCATTTGTCAGCTGATGGCCCTGTGACCAAGAGTCACTTCATCCTGTGGAGGCTCAGTTTTGTCTGTCTATAAATGGAGCTTTTTCTCCCTTTCAAAGTTGTGAGAATCCACTGGAATGTTTTATGTGGAAATACTTTTGCAAAACATTTAGTATTTTAAACATTTAATATTCAGTATTTATTAAATATTGAAAACATCTTTGCAATAAGTATCCATTTCTAGCTACTTTATGAAATCTACACACCGCTAAGAAGTGGCAGCTCTGGGAGTGTTCACCAGGGAGAGGCTGCTGAGAGCAGCTGAGCGGGGAGGGCCTTGTGGAGTCTCCAGGACTTGACTGGGAGTCAGGGGGCCGGCTGTGGACAGGTGGACCAAGAGGCAGAGGGAGCCCTGCCTGGGGGCTCTCCCTCCGGCCCGTAGTGTCGGTGGCAGGGTGAGGGTGGCCGACAGCCCTGATGGGACTTCTTTCCATTTGGGAGCATGACTGCTTCCAGCCTCGCTGAGTCTCTGTAGGAACTGGCAGAAGCTTCCCCTTGCTCAGAGGATGGAAGATGATCAGGGTGGGTGTTTTGCGCCCACTGTGTCGGGAGGAGAGAAGTGAGCGGGGGTGTTTCACCACCTTGCCTGGGCTTTGAACGGGGGGGGGGGGGCGGGAGAAGCCAGCAGTGGACCCTCACTTGATGGGCCCTTCTGTGAGCTGGGGGCTTTGGCTTTCATGGCATGGTCCCTCGCACTTGCTATAAAGCGCATGGCTCCCGCGGGTCCTAGGACTCAGTGCTGCTAATCAGATGTTCTTAAGTAGACTCTGATTTTGTGTAATTTTTCACTAAGAATTTTATACATTTCAGTTTATCTTCTAGACTCAGTTTTTCTGTCAGTTAACATTTTAGCTGTGAATCTGCTTTTGTGAGTTTTGTTAGGGGAAGCCTGCTGAACCGTAAGGGCTGTGGTGAGCACATAGCAATGCTTCTTCCATGTGTGCTGAGCTGCAGTGAGGGGACGGACAGGAGCCAAGGTGGGATCAGGTGATGTCGCTAGTGTCAGGGAACACTCATGCCAGGGAGGATCTTCCCGCTCTCTGATGAAAACTAACAAGCTCCCCTCTCTCTCTGTGTGCCTGCTGTGACAACCCTGACAGCTGGAGATGGAGGACGAGGACACCATCGACGTGTTCCAGCAGCAGACAGGAGGTGCGCCGGAGAGCAGCCTGGCAGGGCATGGTTTCTAGAGGGCCCGTCCCCAGCCTGGGCCGTCCGTCCTTGCATTGCTGTTGAATGGTGAGCACGTGACCATGCCGACCACAAAGGCATCTGCGGAAACTCGAGGACATTCACCACAATGATTTTCCTCTCTCTGATGTACTTCAAGTGCAACTCGAAACTATATCTGCAGGGATGAATCTGTAACTTAAATTGGGCCAATCAGAATTGTTATCTTTGTTCAGGTAAAATGAGTTGCAAGGTATTTTGGGTTTTTTTGTGTATTCATTTGTGTTTTTCCCCCCACCTAAAACATTTTTTAACCCCAGAATTATAGCCTGAATGTTCGCTTTTAGTCTGGCCAGGGACCTGACTCCTGAGTTGCTGCCTCTCCCCCGCTCACTCCAGTCACACAGAGAATTGGTGTTTCCCGCAGTGGGGGTGCGGCTCTTGGACAGGTAATGGGGGCAAGGTGGGTAGGGAGGATAGACTGTCACTTGCTGTAATAGGCACAGGTGATTAAAATGCTAAATATTGCAAATATATGCTTTGTCAGTATATGGAAAAGTTGAAGGGAAAATACTGGAATGCTTCTTCAAAGGTTAAAAAATAACTGGGTCCTTTGGTAATTTGACCCCACGTGCTCTCTGGCCCTCAAGCATGTAATCTCGGGGTCTGAGGCCCAGGACCCACCCCCCTGCCATCCCTCCCACTCCACTCCCTGCTCAGTACCTGGCGTTGGTACACAGGCAAGGACTGGCACAACCAAAATTGGCTTTTCTCTTCCTCTTAATATTGAAGAAATTCCCACATTTCTCATTTGGTAATGGTGTTGTGGCCTCAGATTTCTTCCAGTATTTGCTTCTGATGAATAATTATGGTCTATACATAAAAAAGTAAGATTAAGTATTGCTGAATTTGCAGTTACGTTGTCGTGTAAAAGAGCTACTTCCAAGTGTGGTTACAGATGAACCCATGGAATGATGACTTCATGTTCTTCTCGTGGGTTTGTGCCGTGCTGCTTTCCAAATATGTATTGAATTTATGCATTAGTCTGGTGATTTCAGTTCTGTGAAATATTTTGGGATCTATACCAATTAAACATTTTCATAGTTCTGCCTACTGTCGTTCCCTGAGGCTCCATTGCTGCTTGGTGGCCATTCTCTGCCTTTTATAGTCACCTGAACTACCACCCATCATCTCTTGCTTGCTTGAAATCTTGCTGAAATGTTCTCATTTCCTGTTTGCTGTATGGGCTCGGGTGGGATGTTTGTTGGCTCTGTTGTGTTTATTCACCAATTTGTACATTATTTGTTGTCCTTTACTACTGTAAACAGTAAATATAGTTTGGTATTCTGTCTCTTGGCTTCTACTAAACACTGCATTTGAAGGTTGGGGCGTACCGGTACAGTTCAGTGTTTGAATTGACGATTCTGCGTGGCCACTGCACGGAGAAACTTTGATTGAAAAGCTAGCGGCTGGAAGGTTAGCATTCACCTAGCGGCTCATTTCCCCTCCCCTGGCACATCAACAATGCTAGTCCAGCCTTTTTCCTGCTGAGGGATGTATCCTCTCCTCAGAGACCTCCTGGCTGACAGCTGTCTGAGCCAGCATCACTGTGACAGATTACCCTTCCTCTCCTGGGTTTCGTATGTAAAGAAAGGGTGGATTTTAGAGGCAGATGAGCTTGGGTGTTAGTCTAGGACATCTCTCGTTTTCTGGTGTTTGAATGTAAGTCGGCTTTCCTTCTGCCATGGACAACTTACCTATCTGCTTTGAAATGGAACTGACATTGATTTGGCTTTAAGAATTTCCCAGTATGCAATGGTGTAACAAAACCCAGGTTGAAAATGAGCTGTTTTAGCCCATCAGTTGAGTGAACCCAAGGTGAAGGAAGATGGGCATCTGTGGAGATGGAATACGTGATTCATTTGCACCAGGAAGAGTGCACGGATTAAGGCACAATACAGAGACGGGGACATCCGCCAGATTCCCTAGGCAGCCTGAGGCGAAGGGGCTGCCAAAATCCATGAGGAAAGGGATGTGTCTCAGGCAACATAGGTTAGATGAGAATAATGGCCAAGAGCATATGTGGATGTATTAGGACAGTGCTGCTTGAACTTCCATCCACAACACCTCACAGCAGAAGAACCAGCAGGATGTTTTAAAAAATTTTTAGAGATGGGGGTCTCACTATATTGCTGTATTAGTGCATCGTCACATTACTATGAAGAACTGCCTGAGACTGCGGTAATTTATAAAGAAAAGAGGTTTAATTGACTCATAGTTCTGTAGGCTGTACAGGAAGCGTGGCTAGGGAGGCCTCAGGAAACTCATGGCAGAAGAGGAAGGAGGCACGTCTTACATGGTTGGAGCAGGAGGGAGAGCAGAGGGAGATGCCACACACTTTTAAACAAGCAGATCTTGTGAGAACTCACCGTGACAACAGCAAGGGGAAAATCTGCCCCCATGACCCAGTCACCTCCTGCCAGGCCCCTCCTCCAACACTGGGGATTACAATTCAACCATAAGGTTTGGGCATGGACACAAATCCAAACTATAAATCAGTTGCCCAAGCTGATCTCAGACTCCTGGCCTCAAGTGATCCTCCTGCCTCAGCCTCTCAAGTAGTTGGGATTACAGGCGTGAGCCACGGCGCCCAGCAAAGGCATGTTCTTGAGGTTGTCTTTTCTCTGAGATTTATGCGAATTGTGCATTTGGAAAAATAGATTTGTTGGGATTACTATTTTCAAGAACATTAATTATGAGAAACTGAATCTTTGGGTTAAATTGATGCTCCTGGAGGAGAGAGGACCTATTTATCCTGGTATCTATGCCTGGGGTTCCAACTGGAACTTCTCCAGCTTTTGCACCAAAAGGAACCCCCACTCCCAGGAAACTTGTCGTCTTAGCCATGCTGCAGGAGTGCCCAGCTGGAAACGCGTGATGTTCACCGGAAAGCCCCACCGTGTGACATGGGTTAAGCTGTGAGGTCCTTTTTGTATTTCAGAACTTCAGTTGCTAAAGATAGAAGGCATTAATTTTATTCTGTACAGTTGGCCTCTCCAGGGTGTGCTGCCATGCAGTATTACACACTGGCTGCTCAGAACCCCTGGGACTCCAGTGCCACTTAGATCAAGTGAGTTGAGAGTTGCACGAGTTAGCCGATTAAAATACAGGATGCCCAGCTAAACTTGAATTTCACGCAAGGAACTGAACGATGACCATGAAAAGAAATGTTGCAGAGAGCCTGGTTCTCTGAAGATAAGGTGGTGTAACAGCCCCGTTGAGGGGAGAGACTGCCATCTTATTTCAGCAACTCATATTTTGGACTTTTGTCACTTGAAGCCGAAGCTAATCCTGAGAGAAGCCGTAAACCACATTTCTGAAAAATAGTAATTGGAGAACATACAGTGTTCTACAGTAAGATGTCTGGAAAAGATTGATAAAATTATGAAAATATCCAGCATATGTTATAGTGAGCATCACGGCATTGACAGTAATGCTTTATTGCCCATATTTCCCATAACTGGAAAAGGGGAGCTGCTTTCCTTTAGTAGCACTGGACAGAAACGCCTTGGGGTGTGGGGTGCTGTCTGATTACAGAGAGAGCAGCTCTTGAATGGGGAAGGAAACACCTCCACTGTGACTTTTTGCACATTGCATTTGCACAAATTACTCTCTGAAACAGTCTCAAAGAATGTCATTTTTATAAAGCACTGTGTTCATTTGAAAAGATAGAGGTAGACTGAAATTCTGAATTTTAGGGAATTTTCCTACAATATGCATACTTGTGAAGTTTGCATTGTTAAATTTCATTTGATTTGACAAATCCGTATTAAGAGTATATGGTGTCCAGGTACAGAGGCTGCCCCAGAAACAAGACAGAAGTAGGCAGAGAACCTTGGCTCTCATGGAACACGGTTTTGGTTAGAAGCAACAGATAAGGGTAATAAATTTATAGCATGCTAGTAAGTTCTATAGTACGGTGTGTTGGGTAGGAGTTGCAGAGAGAAAGGTATGCGGTGAAGGCCGGGTGGTGATGGTCTAGGCCACACTGAAGAGGCAACATTTGAGCAAAGACTGAAAGAGAGTGGGAAGAGTTGGGGACCAGAGCCGCCAGAAGAAAGTGTTTCCGGGGTGGGAAAAGTCAGGGACTCTGAACAAAGCCAGGGCAGCTGGAGTGGAGTGAGAGGGATGTCGGGAGGGTCTGGGAGGACGGCGGGGTGGCCCAAGGCAGTGCTTTACTGAGTGAAATGGGCGGAGCAGCGTGTGAATGTGATCAGACTTCTTTTACAGAGATCATCTGCAATGCTGGAAGGGAAAAGACAAATGAAGAGGTTATTGCAACGAACAGCCAGGCAAGAGATGCAAACGTTTTTTGCAAAGGTGTGTGTGTATATACATCCTTGCACTGGACAGCCACGAAGCACTCACTGTGAAGTAAGGATGTGGTTTCAAATCGCTCACCTATTCACAGCGGGTCAATCGGGAAAGCACTCCCACTCAGTACAGCCATTACGGGAAAAGGGCTAGCTCCTTACAGGATCCTCAACTGTGGAGAGGCCGGGAGCCCACGCGGGGCGCTGGGGAGTCTCTCAGCACCCCAGGGGCTCGGGCAGGGACCCGAGCCGCGCCCTCCCTCCCGGGGGTGCCCTGGTGTCGAGGCTGCCCAGCGGAGCTGGCGGCTCTCTCCCTCGAAGTAGAAGGTGCTGGACCCGAACTCCAGTGGAGCCGCACAACACGTGGAGAAAAAGCGCCAGGACAGCCAACCTTCCCACCTTTTCAAACCTGAAACCCGGCCGGCCGGGGGCGGCTGGAACGTTCAGTGCGGACCCGTGCCTCAGGCGCCTTGTTCTCAGCCCCCGACCGCCCCGCGACCTCCCATCTCGTCTCCGCCCTCCCTCCCCAACCTCCATCCTCCCCCCTACAAACCCCATCCTCCCGCCCTTCGGCAGCGCGCGGCTGGCACGGAACAGGCAGCGCACACACTAGAACAGGCGCCACCGTTCAGGAAGTCTCTACAAGACCAGGACCCTGAGGCCTCTGTAAGTGCCGGGACCGGAACCAACCACGCAGAGCGACTAAGGACGGGGCAAGAGCCGAGAGAACCCGCTACCGCCCGTTGAACTCCCACCGCCCCGACAGCGCGCTTCCGCGATTGCGCACGCGCGCTGCGCACCACGCCCCGGAAGAGTTCCTAGGCTCGTGACGGTGACCCGGAAGCAGCCCCCGGTGTCGGGGCAGGAGGGACGCGCGCGGCTGAGGCGAGGTCGCTCAGCGAAGCTGTTGCGGGGCCATGGCGGGGACGGCGCTGAAGAGGCTGATGGCCGAGTACAAACGTGAGTTCGGGGATCTGGGCGGTCAGCAGCGTCCCGCATTCCTGCTCCCGGGCCCGCGTCGTCCGGTGGGGCTGGGGCAGAGAGCCTGGCGGGGGAGCCGGGCGCGGGGCCTCCACCGCGAGCCCAGCTGTGGGTCCCCCGGAGCGCCGCTCTCTGCGCCCGCTGCCCGCCCTCACGCGTGAAGTGAGGAGAAGCCTTCCCAGCGTCGGTAAAGGCAGCGCCGGCGCCGTGTTAGTTGAGAGCACACACAGTTGAGTCTTTGCGGGCTTTCTTTTTTCTCTTTTTCTAGTAATTCTTTTCTTGGCAGCCTTGAGAACGTGCAGTGAGAGCTTGGGGAAGAAGGCCTGAGTTGCTGCTGAGGAATTAGGGGGGAAAGTGTATGCGTTAAAAGGGGAAAAAGACTCGTTGGTGGAGCTTTAGGTGAAAGGTCAGATTTTGGCTTTCCCTCCAGTGAAGGAAAAGGGCTTTTGAACAGTGCCACCTGTCACTCCTCCTAGGTAGTGTTGAGAAAACCTCATGAGTGCTTTCCTACCCGGTACGTTAGATATTTCTAATGTCTGAGGAGAGCGAAGGGAGAAATGAGAACCTAGGAGCACTCGGCATTCCATCGTTTTACACCGAATTCCCGCTCGGAAGAACTGCTGCGAGAAGTCTTGGAATGCCATTGTGTTGAAAGCGCCAGAAACCTGACTCGCCGGCGGAGACAAGATAGTAGCCGGCTAAGAGCAGGGCCCGAGTTCAGACCCGGCCTCTCAGCTCCTTAGCTCTTTGACCTTGTTCCTCTCTCGCAGTCTCTGCAGTTTCTTTATCTTAAAAGGTTAAAGTTGATACTGCCGGTGAAGTGCTAAATACCTGATGTGTAAACTCTTAATAAAGTTAGCCGCTGCTTTTGTAATTAGATTGAGGGTAATTTTGGAAGAAGGTTAAAAATAGGCTGAACTAATGAATGTGATAAAACAGAAATAAGTGGTGAATATACATGTAGCTTGATTTCGTATAGCTGTATTGGTGACACTGCACAGTGAGAGTTGATGTTTGGCTTAAGCAGACCAAAACATTGCAAATACAGGTTCACTCAGGTATGGTCATTCATTCCTTGGTATCTGGAGGGGATTGCTTCCAGGCCCACCTGCAGATACGGATGCTCAAGTCTCTACTATAAAGTGGCGTGGTATTTGCATTTAATGTATGCATAGCCTCTCATAACTTTTAAATCATCTCAAGGTTTACTTATAGTACCTAATGCAGTGTAAGTGCTGCGCAAATAGTTATACTGATTTTTTTTACTTTTATTTTTAAATCGTTAATTTTTTCAAGTATTTTGTATTCCTAGTTGGTCGAATCCATGAATATGCAGGAGCAGATACGCGGCCTGCTGTAAAAGTTCAAATAACGCTCGCCACCTAGTGTCTGCTAAAGCAGAACGTAGAGGCACACTTACTTTCCCGCGCACTTTGCTTGATTGAGTTTCACTTCGCAGATATTGCATGTTTTACAAGTTTACAAGTTTTTTTACAAGCAACCCTGCATGGGAGCAAGTCTGTTGGCACCATTTTTGCTCACTTCGTGTCTCTGTGTCACATTTTAATCTATTACGGTGATCTATGATCAGTAATCTTTGATTTTTTTTTTTTTTTTTTTTTTGAGACAGAGTCTCGCTCTGTCACCCACCCAGGCTGGAGTGCAGTGGCCGGATCTCAGCTCACTGCAAGCTCTGCCTCCTGGGTTTATGCCATTCTCCTGCCTCAGCCTCCCGAGTAGCTGGGACTACAGGTGCCCGCCACCTCGCCCGGCTAGTTTTTTGTATTTTTTTAGTAGAGACGGGGTTTCATGGGGTTAGCCAGGATGGTCTCGATCTCCTGACCTCGTGATCCGCCCGTCTCGGCCTCCCAAAGTGCTGGGATTACAGGCTTGAGCCACCGCGCCCGGCCGATCAGTAATCTTTGATGTTACTGTTGTAATTATTTTGGGGCATCACGAACCATGCCCATAAAAGATGGTCGTCCTAATAAATGTTGTGTGTGCTTCACTGACTGGCTGTTTCCCCATCTCTCTCCCGGCCTCTCTCTTCCCTGAGACAAAACAATATTGAATAGGCCAGTAATAACCGTACAGTGGGCTGAAGTGTTCAAGTGAAGAGTTGCACTCCACCCAGTTCAAATCAAAAACTAGAAATGATTAGGTTTAGTGAGAAAAGAATGTTGAAAGTCAAGACAGGCTGAAAGCTGGGTCTCTTGCACCAGTTAGCCAAGTTGTGAATGCAAAGGAAAAGTTCTTGAAGAAAATTAAAAGTGTTGCTCTGTTGAACACAATGAATAATAAAGTGAAAAAGCCTTACTGCTTATGTGAAGAAAGTTTTAGTGGTTTGGATAGAAGATCAAACCACTCATAACATTCCCTTAAGCCAAAGCCTAATCCAGAGCAAGGCCCTAACTCTTCAGTTTTATGAAGGCTGAGAGCAGTGAGGAAGCTGCAGAAGAAAAATTGGAAGCTAGTAGAGGTTGGTTCATGAGATTGAAGTAAATAACCTGTCTCCATAACATAAAAGCACAAGGTGAAGCAGCAAGTTCTCCAGAAGATCTAGCTAAGATCAAGATGAAAGTGACTCCTAAATTAAGCAATAGATTTACAAGGTATGTAAAATAGCCTTATGCAGTATTGGGAGGAGGAGATGCCATATACAACTTAAACAGCTAGAGAGAAGTCAGTGACTGGCTTCAAAGGACAGGCTGACTCTTGTTAGGGGCTAATGTCAGTCACTTTAAGTTGACTTTGAGTTGAAGCCAGTGCTCATTTATCCTTCAGAAAATCTTAGGGCCCTTAAAAATTATGCTGAATCTACTCTGAGCTCTAGGGATGGTACAACAGCCTGGATGACAGCACATCTAAGTACAACATGGTTTACTGAATATAAGCCCACTGTTGAGACCTACTGCTCAGGGAAAAAAAGATTATTTTCAAAATATTATTGCTGACAGTGCACCTGGTCACTCGAGCTCTGATGGAGATGTATAAGGAGATAAATGTTTTTATGCCTGCTAACACAACACCCATTCTGCAGCCCATGGATCCAGGAACAATTTTCACTTTTATTTAAGAAATACATTTCATAAGGCCATAGCTGCCATGAAAGGTGATTTCTTTGATGGATCTGGGCAAAGAAAATCAAAAGCCTTCTGGAAAGGATTTATTATCCTAGATGGCATTAAGAACATCTGTGATTCATGGGAGGTCACCGTATCAACAACAGGCTTTTGAAAAAGTTGATTTCAATGCTCATGGATGACTTTAAGGGGAGGAGGCAACTGCAGATATGGTGGAAATAGCAAGGGAACTGCAGTTAGAGGTGGAGCATGAAGATGTCACTCAGTTGCTACAATCTCATGATCAAACTTGAACAGATGGGGAGTTGAGTCTTACAGATGAGCAAAGAAGTGATTCTTGAGATGGGATCTACTCCTGGTGAAAATGCTGTGAACATTGTTGAAATGACAACAAAAGATTGAGACTATTCCATAAACTTAGTTGATAAAGCAGCAGCAGGATTTGAGGGTATTGACTCCAATATTGAGTGAAGTTCCAGTCTGGGTAAAATGCTGTCAGACAACATCACAGACTACAGAGCAATCTTTGGTGAAAGAGTCAGTCCCTGTGGCAAACTTAATTGTCTTATTTTCAGAAACTACCACAGCCACTCCTGCCTTCAGCAACTACCACCCTGATCAGTCAGCAGCCATCAATATCCCGGCAAGACTGCACCGGCAAAAAGATTATGACCTGCTGAAGGCTCAAATGATTGTTAGCATTTTTTAGCAATAAAAATTAAGCATATTTTGGCAAATAATTTTTTTTTTTTTTTTGAGACAGGGTCTTGCTCTGTCGCCCAGGCTGGAGTGCAGTGGCACAACCACAGCTCATTGCAAGCCTTGACATCCTAGGCTCAAGCTATCCTCTCACTTAATCCTCCTGAGTAGCTGAGACTACAGGCACGTGCTGCTACACCTGGCTGATTTTTCTGTCTTCATCTTGACCTCCATGTTGTCAGGGTTTGACAAAAGTGACTCCATTTTGATTCTGACAACGTTCATACTAGAACAGAGGATTGGATATGGGGAACTGTTACTTCTGTGTTCTCATGGGAAACCTGGCTGGTGGGTCAAATGTGTAAACACCTACCATTTCTTGGTGTCCTGGTTTGTGTTTGTGTCTCTGTTTTAGTTTTATTTTTGTCCTGTTTCTAGGGTGAGGCTAGACTGTGAGCAGCCATTTTCTCATTTTTATTGAGAAGAAAATCATTAAACCCCTGCATAGGAAATTAAGTTCAGGCTGCTGCTTCAGGCCAGTCTTTGCGTTGTTGAACTTGTATTTTCTAAGGATATTTGCATTAGCAAAGATATGTTCTCCCTTTTACTGTCCTGACAAAAGCTTCATCTGTTATTTCAATTGTCAATTAGTTTGCAGTAATAAACCTAAATAATGGTTAATTTCCAAAGGTTTGTCACAGAAGTGTATTGTGTGTTTTTACATGTTAACATGAAAGTTTGGACTATGTGTGGAAGGTAGAACTCTAAACATACCTCCCTAAGATTCACATGCCCTAGTTATTCAAGCGCTTTCTAGTACTGCGGTGGAGGGCCTTTGGAGATGTAAGTAAGGTTACTAATCAGCTGATTTAAAGAGAGGGAGTTTATTCTGGATTACTCTGGAGGATCCAATAACATAAGGCTCAAAAGCAGGCAATGAAGGCAGGATGGGGGCGGTCAGAGAGATTCGACATATGACAGGATCTCTACCTTTTGTGGCTGGCTGTGAAGATGAAAGGAGCCATGAGCTGAGGAAGGTGGGCGGCCTCAAGAAGCTGAGAATGACCCTCGGCCAACAGCCCTGTGGAACTGAATTCTGTCAGCAACCTCAATGAACTTGGAGTGGCAGCCCTGGTGAGACTCTGAGCAGAGAACTAGCTGGCCCATGCTGTGTCCAGACTTCTGACACTTGGAAAC